GGACTCCTTCTTTAATATGCGTATGCACATTGGACTGAGGAGTCCTGATGTGGCACTGTGGGTTAATGCGCCAGACTGCGAAGCCATTTGAATCGCAAGGTCGGTGGTTCAAGCTCACCAGCTGCTCCTAGGAAATCCTATACAGGGTCACTATGTGTCGGAATCGACTCGACGGCACTTAACAATTTGAGTTTAAAAGTGGGGCAAATGTTCTTTTAACCGATGAAACGTTAAGCAAATTCAGGCTGTAGGAAAATAATATCTTAACTGAGGAAATGTCTACTCTGGGAAATACAGTTTGATTCTTTTAAAATACAAAGGTGTTACATTTCATATCAAATTTTACCAACGTTCTGTTTTATAAATTCACATTTTACACCATAATTTAATTTTTCTGTTCCATTCAAAAAGTTCACTCTTGTATATACTTTCAGTAAAAACACCTGGAATATATATTTTTAAAAAATCCTCAATTCAAGCTCTTTCCTGTCTTATGTTGCTGTTCTTAAGTGCCGTGGAGTCTGTTCCGACCCATAGCGACCCTGGATAGGGTTTATGAGGAGCAGCTGGTGAACTTGAACATCAGACCTTGCAGTTCTAACAGTTTGCAGTCTGGCGCCACCCTGTCTTATATTGGAGAACAATTACAGAAATATCTTGTGGTCAGTATTCTTAAGTTAGTGAGCAAAAGCCCTAATACAACACAGGCATTTTTCATTTAATGATGACTTGTCACTACATTTATCAGGAACAGACATATTGGTTACAGCAATATAATATAGGGCAGCTTTGTCAAATGCCTAACTTTAAGGGCTAGGTCAACTTCTAAGACAACTATATGGAAGCAATCAGTTGTGAACAAAAATTTAATATTAAAATTATTCAAAGTATGTAAGCTATTATTTATTAAAAAAACAAAACAAAACAAAAAAACCCCATGTATTAACCACCCATCAAAACAATTTTATTTTAATAAATAACAGTGGGCTTACCATAGGGTAGGAATTGTAATGTGTCAGGTTTTATCTTAAAAAGGTGAAACCACTTAGAAGGTATAACCAATTAAGCCCTAAAGATAAAACTACAATACTTTCAGTAATGGAAATTAAAAAATATTTTCCAAAAGAAAATAATTCACTCCTTGACCATGCTTATTTATTCAGAGTACCAGCAATTTCAGTTAATGTTAAGTGCTTCATTTTTCCTGAAATATGATGTTGTACAGGGAATATACACATTTTCAGATCATCACATTATCTTCATTATCTCAGACTAATAATATTGTGAATGCAAATTTTATATCAAACACAACGTAAAAATCAATACTACTACAGTATTTGTGGAAAACAGAAACAAAAGTAGATCTTGAAAGGTGTTTTCTTTTGCTTCCAGTACTGATTTTAATCGGATGGACTTTAAATGAAGGTCATATACTCTCCTCCTGAAGTAACCCTCTACTTCTGGGCTGGGAATCCACAGTATAAATATGGTGATAAAGCTAAATTATAAGAGCTAACTATATATTGAATAACCAAAATAATCAGTTATAACAACTAATACTGCTCTTGCAGACCAATCTAATGAAAAAAGTATCATTAGATATGGTGGGAAAATACAGACAAATCTGTACAATCTAACATCTATAAACAGTAAAATCAAAACATCCAACTTCCTTATAGAAAGTGTTTATCTATGTAATTATAAATGTTAAGGACTCTTGCATTTTATAAACACAAGATGGGCTCACTTTGATGATACCAATATTAAGATTTATAAAAATGCTTAAAAAAATCTTTCCACAAAAGTTTATACAGTTTAAAGCTATACACCAATCTATAAATTTCAGAAAATGGAAAACAAAACAAAACAAAACAAAACCTTTATAAGATCACATGTATAAAACAAGAAATGAAATGTGATTTTATTTAAGGCAATACTGGGCTACTTCACAAATCACCACCTCAAATATTTACACTGCTCCACACTACTAGCTTCTATCACATCACAAAGGGTTTTTTTCTTTTTAATACCAAATGTTTAAAATCTCCAATGTAGTAAATTCTTTATTCATATTTCCATTATATTTCATGGAACCATAGTAATTATATCTAATTAGAAGCAATGGAAAAAAAGAAATCCAAAAAACCTGTAGGTATAAGAAACTGCCTTAATTTTACATGAATACCACCCTAAAATCTTGGATGGTAAATTTACAAAGCAGAACAAGGTGTTATTATAATTATGTGCCTACTCTGTGAAAAATAATCTTGAGACCGTTTCGTAAATAAATGCATCAGTGGACAATGGCAGAGTTTCTAGATTTAGTTTAAAAAGTTCTTAATTTAAAATAATAAAACTTGATCACTTAGTTAAAAACTTGATCACTTAGTTAAAAATTAAAATTCCAAATATAAATGTGTCATTTAATAGTTTAGACTTACAGACCGCTGGTGGCAGCAAATGATTTACAATAATAAATATATACAAAAAATGTATCTACAAAGAAGACCGTTATACATGAGCAGTGACCCAGTGAAACATACCAATCACACAGAAAATTCAGCTTAGTTCATGGAAACGGTAATTGGTTGATAGAAATTCGAGGTTTAGCTCGACTATTTACAAAACTGAAGCATTGATTCTTTTCAAGTCCCATAGGGATAAAAATAAAAAGTTTTACATGACAAATGTCATGGTTTTTTTTTTCTTTTCTTTTTTATGTTGGACAAGTTAATTCATCAACAATAATAACAACAAAAAATAATTAAAAGGTTTCACAATTCTAGCATGCTTGATGGTTTCCTATTTAAAATAAAACCATAAGTGATGTATTTATAGTACATTAGTTCTCAGTACTGCCCTCTCCCTGTGGCTTTACCTACGCTATTTTCTTTCATAACAGACACATTTGGATCTTTTGGATGTACTTCAAGTTTTTTCAGACTAACAGTAGGTTTCATTTCCTGAAGCTGCTTTAAGATGAGCTCAGTGCAATCTTTAAGAGTCTTGTCTAAAACTATTTTTACATTATTACTGCACTGAAGCTGTGATGGATTGGCAAACTGTACAAATGTTTCACTTTCTTTACAAGAACATACATGATTCCCACTAGTCACAGCAGTCTTGTCAGTGTTTCTTCTTGAATTTGAGTGAGATCCTTTTTTAGTTCCGCTATTTGGATGGTCTTTGTCAGTACTTTTCTTCTGCTTCACTGCAGATTCCTCAAGGAACTTGAGAAATGACACTTCAAATCCCATTGGTTTAAATGAGCTCCAGTCAAAAGATGCAGGATGGTCCTCAGTGGTTTGAATTGCAACAGCAGTTTCTTCTTCTTTATGCAGGCTATTTGACTCATCAATTGCCAATGAGGCTTCAGTTTTTTCAATTTTCCTCTTTTTGTTTTGTGAGACATTTTTTTCTTTATTAACTCTCTTTAGATTACTTGCTTTCTGTTTTTCTGACTGGCAGGGGTTACTTTCCTGAAAATCATTGCTTACACTTGAGTTATTAGCTTGAGCCTCTCCACTTGTGTTGTCTTCATTTATTAGTTTTGTAATAAATAATTCTGTTAGCTCATCCATTTCATCTTTCTCATTTTTTTCAACTTCCTTCTGTGGAACGGAAATTGTTTCCACTTTATCATTGCTTTCGGACACACATGTGTCAGGATCTTTTATATCACTTTTATCAACTTCTTGCTCAGCAGATGTTTCCTTCACTTGTGAGTTGCAACACCTTTTGAAGACAATAAGAAGATTGCGGTGTTGTGATGTAAATGCCTTAGATAGTTTATGGCACTTATAATGTCTAATTATATTGCTTTCACTAGTAACGACGGATGTACAACCCTTTATCATACATGGATACTGGGTTACAAATCTGCTGGTACACTCAGATAAGGCGTCATTTCTAGCCTTTATAGAATATACATGCTTTCCACGTTTCAGAGAATAAGGCTTATTTTCTTCAATCTGTACAATCTTTGTGTTGTTTTCTAAATTATTTTTTTTCTTTCGTTTGTTCTTAGGCATTTTAATTCCATCTTTGCCAGATTTGCTGTATTTTGTCCCTCGAAGTTTAGGCTTTGTTTTTTCTTGGTTTGCCTTGCTTGATATATTTTCTTGACCTGGTGTTAATCTTCTTGGCCGAATCAAATGAGCTTTATGTTTGTCATTATGCTTATTAAAAATATGTCGGAGAAGATTAGACCGAGTTGCATATATACGGTCACAACCTTCACAATCACACTTGTATATGCCATCTTCATCTGCTTTATTTATCCTTAACCCAATTCCATGGTCTGCCTCAAGATGTACAACATAGTTCAAATATGTAGTAAATGAAGATTTACACTCTAACTGATCACATGGAAACTTCCCAACATCCACAGCAGCAGACATACTTTCAATTTCCTCAGGGGTCATTTCATGAAGTTTCATGTAGTGTTGTATTAGGCCAGTAATTGCTTGGAAAATTCGAGAACAGTCACTCACCTGACAGCGAAATTCTTTCACAGATTTACTTTCAATTTCTTCACTTTCTTTACCAACCTCACTTTCTTCTTCAATCTCGGCAGAAAATGCAGATAGATCTGATTTGTGTACAGCCTGGTAATGAAGAATCAAGTTTTGCTGTATTGTAAAGGCAGCAAAGCAACCTTGGTGAACACAACGATACGGTCTGTAGGGACTATATTGTGTTGGAAGCTCAACACATTGGGAAACTGGCTTCTTGCTTTTTTTCTCCTCCTTTTCTTTTTTATGTCTCCTAATTTTCCGTCCTTTGGTTTGTACGTTTGTGAGAGAATCTGTATTATTTTGCTCTGAAGTAACTATAATCACTTGTGAAGAGCTTTCTGGATTTTCAGGACTTTTTTTTTCAATAACTTGGTTTTCTGGAATCTCGGCTACACTACTGAGAGCATTTTCATTATTTGCTTCCAATTCTAAAGCAGGCTGGAGTTCCTTTTTATTTTCCTCAGGCACAGCTACTTGTTTTTTGACTTGTGGATTATGTGAGGCTGGCAAATTTTCAGTCTGAGATTTTCTTCCATAAGGCCTTTTTATTTTTAATTTGACCATTTCTTCTGTTGTAAAATGATGTACCAACTGGCAGTGTGCCCGGAGATTAGAATTTCTTGTAAATGTTTTTGTACATGTAGGTACCACACATTTAAATGGAGCAAATTTCAACTGATTCTTCTTAATTTCAAGAATCATCTCTGGAGTGTACTGATGAATTTTACCATAGTGCTTAAATAGTGCATCTTTTGTCATAGCACTGTAGTTACAGCCTTGGTTTTGACACACAAAGGGTTTATTAACCTTGTCACTAAACTGAAGGTTATTTACCATTTCAGAGACTGGCTGAACCTCTGAGGCATTTGGACTTGATTTAACAGGAGTAGGAGCCAGTGTCATTGATGTATTAATTAGTACACACTGGGATGCTGGAATAGAGAGGTCATTCTCTAATTTTAAATTCTGTAAGCCTTCTAAGATTTCCTGTATTTGATCCTCCTTATGTAATACTTCAGGCTGAGGAATATCATTTTTTGTTGGCATGACTCCTATGAAGGAAGAAAACTCAGAAGCATCGGGTACTTTGTTATTTTGTACAGTGTTCACTGCAGGAAGTTGAATATTATAGCTTATCTGTGCATTCTGTGATGTTTCACCAACACTCTGAAGTCCACTTTTGACCTCAAGTATTTGAGAATTCATAGCAGTTTTGATTATTTCAAGAGTCTTTTCAAAGTTTTGCATAACATTGTCTTCAGAAATCTGCAAATCAGAATTCACTGAAGTCGGACATGAGTTTAAAGTCATCACTTGGGAATCACCATTTTCTGTTTTTAATGCTAAAGGCGCTAACACTGGATGGGATTCAAGATTGGTTTTCAAGTTTTCTTTTACATCAGTCATAAATAACTGATTGTCAACATTATTAAGTTTCTGTGTTAGATTTTCCATCAAACCCTGAAGTTCACAATTTGAAATGACGTTTGACTGAATGTTAGTAGTTGGTATCTCAATGCTCTTTGTGATGAGTCCCATTGCTGTTAAGTCACTTGTTGCCAAGTTTTGGGAGGCATTGGGTGCAATTAGTGGAGGAACGGCTTTCTTTTTTCGTTTAGAAGCACTGTTGCCCTTTTTATTTAAATTACTAGACCTTGCATTCTGAGGACCACTTATAACTGAAACACGTGAATTGTTATTTGTAAAATTTTGTGATGGTTCACCAGAATTTGGGAATGAACTAGAGCACAAACCATTTTCAACAGTCTTCAGTAGTAAGTCATTTGCTGGAAAGACAGGCAAACTGTTGCATTCATCAGTGGAAGGAGTTTTAGAATTTGGTGTCCTATTCTGGTTCGTCAGCAGGGTGTTTGGGTGGCACACAGTCTGCAACAGAGGTGGCACAGTTGGATTTGGCATCACTGCTGCATTTACTTGTCCTGCCTCTGAGACACAACCTGATTGGACAACATGAGAAAGCATTTCTGGTCCCTCAAAAGTACTGGGAATGCCAGCAGTTTCCAAAGCCTGTTTAATGATTTCACTTCCTTCTTGGCTAACAGTGGTATTAAAGTTATTCACACCAGTACGAGGAAATGTATTTGGTAAAAATGTTGATGATCGATTTTCAGAAGCAAGAAGCTGTAAGAATGATGGATCTTTAAAACAAGCTTCTGGACTAAAGGTAGACTGCTGTGGCTGCTGCAAATTGACTGCATTTGTGGAGAGAATCATGCTAGCAAGGAGAGAAGGCGGTCCATTGTTCTGTAGAAGTTCCTGGGCAATTTCTGCTCTATCGAGTGGCTTACAGTAAGATCGCTTAGATAAGTGTCCCCCCAGTGATCTGGGATTAGTAAAAGCCCTATAACATCTGCTACAGATAAATTTCCCATCTCTGATAATTGCAGGCCATTTAGCCCTTTTGTTTTGCTTGGGTTTTCTTTCTTTCCCATTTGGGCCTCGACCACGGTCTTTTTTAGCTTTTTCAGGTAGAGACTGTTGGGCACTAGTGCTGTTAAGGTCATTTGCAACATTCACTTGTGAAGGAAACACTGCATTTTCGCCATTACTCCCCTTTAGGAAGGAGGGATTAGTGTTTCCCTCAATTTGTGAGGAAAAATGACTTGAATTATTTTCCAGTTGGGAAAAAACAGAATTAGTCCCACTATCTGCTGGTGAAGGGAAGAGAGACATTGAACTGCTTTCTGCAGGCAAAGGAAGAAAAGGATCTGAGCCACTGTCAATATTTAAGGGCAAAACTGTTTTGGTTAGATCTTCCATTTGTGCTGGCAAGGTAGTAGCAGATACATTTTCCATTTGGGAACATAGCATACCACTTTGTTCATTTTTATCCTGAGAAGGTATATTTGGATTTATGACACTTTCCATCGAGGGCAACAGTGGAGTTGACTCGTTTGTCAAATGAGCTGAAAAAATGGAAGGTGAGACATGCTGCAACTGGGTTGAACAAGTAGGATTCCCACTGGCTTTGGTCTGTGGTGCAAAAAATGGAGTATTAGAGCTGCTCACTTGCGATGGCAAAAAATAAACAAATTTTCCATTATTTGGTGCATTTAGGTTGTTAGATTTCTGACCTCTTTTATTTTTGCGCTGCATTTTAAATGTAGCATATTGGTCAGGATGTGCTGTCTTCATGTGTTTGCCAATACTCTGTGAAGAATTGTAGGTTCGAGTACATCCCTCAACCTGACAACTGAATTTCTGCACTGGAGCTTTTGGAGGCACTGATGGAGTTCCTAAAGAACTGCTTAGGTTGGGCTCTGGTGGAACAAATGTGATACTTTCTAATGTCTTAAGAGGTAAAGTATAAAGATCGGATGATGTTTTAACATTACCTCCACATTCAAGTTTGGAAGTTGGTACAGAGTTTTGAAATCCTGACTGATTTTGCACAGAAAAAGTCATCAGGTTGTTCACTTGTCTTTCTAAGTTCTGTGGGTTAAGGTCACCTATTTTGAGAGTTTCTGAATTTACTAGAGAATTCTGAGTTTTATTAAAGCAATCCTGTTCTTTTCTTTCTTGGAAACCTGGATGACTCAAATCATTACAAGTATCTTCAACTGGTGTATTTAAGTTTGTGACCAATGATTCACCAGTGCCTTCCACAGCTGAGTTCTCTAGCTTTCCAAAGTTATCCTCAACGCCATGATTGAGAGACACTTTGATGGACACAGCGACTTCACTGGCCTGAAGCAGAGGGGTGGTAGCCGGGGTTTCCAAACCATTTGACAATGGCCCATCAGGTTCCCTCTGCACAGAGACAGAACCCTGGTCTTGTGAGGTCACAGCTGATTCTGTTTTGCTTTTGTCCCATGTATCACTTCTATCTTCTGGTAAGCTGCTTTCAATATTATTTTCTGAAGGAAGCATAGATCGCTCTTTTTCATTATTTCCATCTGTGTTCTGATTCACTTTGAAAGGCTGAACAGACTCTCCGGATGAATTCATTTGGTCTTCGGGAGGCAGTACTTTCTCAGGAGGAGTACTGTGGTCATCCAGATGCTTTTCTAGTTCACTCTGAGAACGATAAACTTTACCACAACCTGTGAACCTACAAGTATAGGTATTATAATGCTGTGCTTCGTGATCATACAGTAAATAAGCTTCTGAAAAAATTCTGCCACATTTAGGAAACATACATTTTGCTCTAAACACTTGATGTTCCTTTCTGTGGGTTAAGAGCTCTGCATAACTGTTAAACCCAGCCTTACATTTTATCTGGATACAGATATATGGCTTACTGCCACAGTGCATTTGTAAGTGATCGTTGAGATGAGTAACACTTACAAAATGCCGCCTACAGTACTGGCAAATAACTTTCTTGCTTTGCATTTCAAGAAAGCGCTTGGCATCTTCATTATCTTTATGCCCCTTTACATGCGCAATTAAATTTTTAAAGTACTTAAAGCCCTTTTTACAAAAAGTTACAGGGCAATTAAATTCATTAACAGGTACTGGCTTCTGGATTGGGATCACTTCCGGTTCATAAGATTTATCTTTATCATCATTTTCATCATCTGAACCATCATTGTCATTAAATACTATGAAATCTGTTGAATAGAGACTGTTCTTCTTGATAGGTCTCTGTTCCTGCTTGGTCACAGCATTATTAGTCTTCTGATTCTCATTGGTAGTTGTAATCTTAGGAGGTCTTCCCAATCTTCTTAATGGTTTCATAGCTGCTAGTCTCTCTTTACTAGATTGTTTTACATGCAATGTGACATGAGGAACAAACGTTTCTTTAGAACTAAAGTTCTTTGCACATATGGGGCAACTGTAAATCCCATCTTTGAAATGTTTCTGAGCATGTCGTACTATTCTGTGACCAAGAAATTCTTTGTCACATAGCACACAATACTGCATGTATGCTTGCCAATTCCTAAACCTAGCAGATATAAATCCTCGCTCTCTTAATTGCTTTATTTCTTTCTTTTTCTGCTTCTCATCACCAACGCCTTTAAGGCCAGAATTAGCACCAACTCCACCAGAGAGTCCATTTACAGAAGTTTCTTTCATTTCTTCCTGGTAATCTACTACCTTCTCATATACTTCACTGTCATTTAGTTCATCTATTGAAGACACAATGGATGCTTCTTCTCCCATTAATGCAAGACACTGTCGTTTTAAGGTTTTCCAATCCCAGAATTCTGGATCAAAGGGCCACTGAGTTTTCAAAACAAGTAAGAGCTCACATCGTAGAGAATTTGGTATTGGAAGATTCTCTTCATCATATTTCTGGTCTGGCTGGTTATACAACATTTCAACAGCATAATACGCATCTACTGTAGGCTCAATAAGAAATTCACTTAGTTGACAGGCACGTTTAACTTCCAGATCATCAGGCAACAAGCATGAAATGGTCTTGCAAATAGATATCTTCACTTCAGTATTTTCTGTAGATTCCATGCGAAGAGCTTTTACACATAATTCTATACAAGTGGCAAGTCCAGCCCCTTCAGTCTGTGAAAAGTAGATAGAAAAAGTTAATAACAAAATTCAGGTTAATTAAGACAAATGAACTAGTGGATTTAGTCATTTTTAATTCTAGGTTTGTTTTTCTCAAATGTTACAATAGTAGCATGTGAAAAATGTCATGTCTGAAAGCATGATCAGGGCTCTGAAATAATTTAACAACTTGGAAACTACTTAACTTCTCTGATCTTTATGAGGGGGCTTCAAATAATTTATGGAAAAATTTAATTATCTTTTTCCACAAACTTTTTTTTTTTTAAAGTCCCCGCATATATCCCATTTATAAAAGGGAGGTCAAATTAGCACTTATACTTAATAAAATTGCTGTACATATATTAAAGATTTGTATCTAAATAACCCTGGACTCATTTTGTATAGTGTCTGATACATGTATGAAGTGTTTTATAATGGTCATTATATGCATCACAAATCTCATGTCCTAAGTTTGTATTTGCAATTCTTTTTAAAAAACAAAACAAAAACCTTAATCATATTACAAACCTGAAAATGTCCTTATATTTCCTACTTTATTAGTAATGAAATAATAATTTCACTCCTAATAAAACAGTTATCTGCACTTAAATGGGGGTTCTGATGGTGGTAGCGATGTGCTGTAGAGTTGGTTCTGACTCATAGAGTTTCCTATGCATAGGGTTTCTGAGTCTGTAAATCTTTACAGGAGCAGAAAACCTCTTCCTGTGGAACAGCTGGTAGTTTCTAACTGCTAACCTTAAGGTTAGCAGCCCAACTTGTAACCACTACGTTACCAGAGCTACTTAATGGGGATTCAACTTTATCATAAAACTGAATACCAAATCAACTATCTCACGACTGGGCCATGTTAAGAATTGGAAGTAGGAGGAGAAAAGTCAAATAAACTTTGTATTTTTCTGAATCAGCATTTTACACTATTATTTTCAGAAGACAAGAGTGAAGGTAAGAGTCACCTGAAAGCTACATGGAAGAATAAGAGAAGGTGGGTTTTAAAATGTTAAAAGGGAACATAAGGAATAAAAGCCAGCCACAGGATCTGGTTATATCCATTAAAAGGGATCTATGTAATGTAAGATATCAAAAGGCAAGAAAGACAAAAAGCCAAAAGAGGTAATAGGTTTTGTACTTTCACATATAAGAGCTCTGGTAGCATAGTGGTTACCAGTTGGGCTGCTCACATCAAGATCAGTAGTTCAAAACTACCAATGGGAGAAAGATGAGGTTTTCTGCTCCTGTAAAGATGTGGAATACAGGAAACCCTGTAAGAGGTCGCTATGAGTTAGAACCGACTCCATGGCACATAACCACCACCACCACCACCACCATCACCACTTTCACATATCAAGAAGAATATGAAACATTTTACTGGAACAGAAACTTAGATTTGTGGCCCAAAAGGAGAGTGAGGGAAGGAGGCTGTGATACTGTATAAGGTGCTTTGATTCTAGAAAAAGCAAGAGTACAAAGACCAAAAAGATACAAGGCAAGAAGAATAAATATGAAATGCATCTATTTAAAAAGTGACAAGAAAGACAGGGTTACTGGGGAAAGTTGGGACCATATGGGTGTTTTGAATATCTAAAAAGACCTTTCACACAAACTTGTATAGTTATTTTGTACTACAAGGGTGAGTAAAAAATTATCCACATTATGGCTGTAGAGTTTATTTTAATCAATTTTTAGAAAAGACAAATACATCATTTTTTTGGGACACAATCTGCTTGTTTTCAATAAACTTTTGAGTTTCTCTTTAATCTGAGTCCCTAGAAATTTACCTAGTAATCTTGCAGTATAAGGCATATTTTAAAAAAGGTTTGTTATATTTTATCAAGTATTTCTGGGTGTTTTGTAGTAAGATCTGGCATGGTGCTAGCAGTCTTCTTCACACTCAAAATTTTTACAGGGCTAAGCTATCAAAGGAGCACAATGGCAAAGAGAAACAACTGAAGAGTAATAAAGTAGGTATGATATGTGTTTCTTTTCCTCAAGCTAGGAGCAAATCCTTGACTCCCATTTACAGTTACAAGTTTGTGTATCAAATTTCTTGAAGGGCTGATAAAAAAAATCAATATTCAAAGCAATAAGTGTTTGCAAAACATTAAAAGAGGTACAAAATAGTAAAAGTTAAGCCCTTTATTAAAGATAATTCGTATCTTTTAAATGAAGAAATTACTGATTATTCTTACCTCTGAATTAATAACTTTAATCAGGAAAAAAATGTGATATACTGTCTTTGTTAACAAAGAAAGTTGACGACACCTTTCTAGGTACACCTGTATAGATGGTTCCACCCTTTGCTGTAATTTACTCCAAAAGAGAGTGAGTTCCCTAAAAGATAAGGTTTAAGACATAAGTTGGAACAGATATGTAATAAACACAGGCTATGTCAGTCTCATTACATTTAAAGAAAAAGTGGTTTTAGATTCCATTTCTACATGTGAAATTAAGTTTAGAATAGAAAAGTAGTTCCCACTTTTCTAAAGACTAAATCAAATTTAAATATGATTCATCATATTATTAATAAGTATTAATAAGTAGAAGAAAAGCAGTATGCTTTACCAGAAAAGCATCTGATGTATATGTAAATTACACAATGTAACTATGAGCTGCATCTGAACTTCATATAATATAAAGCACAAAGCATCAATTAATGGCACTTAATTAATTTCTAACTTAAATCTAAAGCCAACCAATAAGGTTATTAGATGAATGTTACGAATCAGTGCTGACACAGAACCCATGTAAATATAGTAACTTATTTGAGTTGTAATGGTGAGACAATATGAAATTAAAAAAACAAAAAAAAAAACAAATGAACTTCAAAACTTATTTCAAATGCAACAAAAAACTAATTTTCATAGAAAATAATTCTACTGAAGTTATGAGTTTTCCTCCTTTTAACTTATTGTCTTATGTTTCTTCTGTCCTCCAAGATAAAAATCGACTTCCTTGCTTCTAATTTTTTTTTCCATTTCTAGGAAATCTACGCTTGTGACCAACCACTTGAATAACATTCTTGATTATTAATTTTAACCTATATACTGAGACTTCAAAATCTTTCTTTCCAATCCAGACCACTTTCACCTCTCTACTTCTTTAAAAGACTTCTCTACTTTCATGTCTTCAGAAATATGAGTATATGAAAAATGATTAACATTCTTCCAATTTACTTTCTAAGTTAATGCATTGTTACTACTGATACTACCACTATCTGCTTTTCCCCATCCTTTAGAATTACCTTCTTCAACATTTTTTCACCTGATCCACAAACCATGGAAGTCTTTGTAACTTCCCAACTGGGTTAGATACTGGCTTTCTAGTTGATTTTCTTGTCTCAATTCTGTATTGCCTCTCCCTTCCTCAACTTTGTCCTTGTTCAGGCCATAATCTAATCTAAGCTGCTTGTTTTACACATTATTATTGTTATGTGCCGTGGAGTCGGTACTGACTCATAGCAACCCTGCACAGGGTTTCCGAGGCTGTTAATCTTTACGGGAGCAGAACGCCTCATCTTTCTCCCATGGAACAGATGTAAGTTTCAAACTACTGACCTCGCGGTTCGCAGCCCAATTCGTAACCCCTATGCTACAGAGCTCCTTAGACTTTTAAAAACATAAACTTCTGCTTTGACATTTCAAAATTATGTAGTAGACTGCTTTAGCATTATATACAAGTCACACATTGATACCTTCTCTCCCCCATTTAAAACATTAACTTATTAGTCATTACTGGTATTTACTATTATACTATCTAGACAATCTATTACTAAACTATTACTGAATAATATCATGGACTAGCAAGATAAATTAATGATTTTAGTTAACACTAATTTAAGACTACTGATCTGCGATTCTTTAGTTAACATAAATCAACATCTGTCAGTTGTAGTGTCCTAAAATATAATATATAACAAGCTTTACCCAATTGAAAATTTCCCATACAAAAGAAAATTTCCCATACAAATAAACTTTTACTGAACAACTTGAAGAAGTGGTGAAGACGACTGATTTTCCCAGGTGGAAAGGAAATTACATATCCATACATAGATGGTCAACTAGCGCTACAGTTAAATGAGTTCATTATTCAGCGGAAAAACAAACAAACATAAATACATTCAATCACAGGTTGCTTACATATCTGGAGAGTTCTGTTATGGTATTAAGACAAAATAGATCTTTCGTTCATCTTCCAAAATTACAAAATGTTCTTACCAAATGGTCATAAATGTCATTCTAAGGAACTATATGATTCTTAATATAAAAAGTACAAAGGTTTTAAATTTATAACATGAAATACTTAAAAATCAGTTTGCATCTAGTGTATATGAAAATAAGCTTTTTGTCCGGAAAAGACTTTAAAAGATGCTCAAGTTCCTAAATCATATAAATTCTCGTAACCTTCCTTGTATTCTGAACAGACTTTTATTAAAAAAAAAGAATATTAACTCACCAAGCACAATACATATCACCTTGTTGTAACTGACGTGATAAAAATGCTGCACATAAAACAAGAGCACTTTTTTCATCACCCTCAGATTCTAAGTTACATATCATTTCTAGTGCATCTTTGCAATCAACTTCTGAAATCTAAAGAAAAAAGATACAGAAACATGGCACAAAACGGTGTTATATTTTTACTAGAAATTTACATATCATTTTCATCAGTAAAACTTCATTAATTCATACATTATCAGCTCATCAATGGCCAGAGGTAGGGTAATATGTTGCTGTAGGATAAGCACATGACTGCTAACTACAAGGTCAGCAGTTCAAACCCACCAGTCGCTCCTCAGAAATCCTACACAGGGCTGCTGTGAGTCAGAATCAACTTGACAGCACTTCACAACAACAGGATAGAATGGGCTGCATTAAAAAAAAATGTCTAATGTAGAAAAAATGTATATAGCAATTCTGGAAAAACATTAACACAGGAGGAACAACTATTTTCAAGAATGTCATAAGTATTCATTTACATGTAAGGAACTGTCACTAAATATAAGCACTCACATCTATTAAGGAGTCTTGATGTGGCACTGTGGGTTAAGGCGCTGGACTGCAAGGTCAGTTTGAACTGCAAGGATGGCGGTTCAAGCTCACCAGCCTCTCCTCAAAAACTCTATACAGGATCCCTATGAGTTCAAACCAACTCAACAGTACTTAAACAACAGCAACAAAAACACCCATTAAAACAAATCTATGATACTGGAAAAGAAAATATGTAGTACTTTTATTTTTCCCTTTTTATCTAGTAATTTTAAGTACATTTGAATCAACAGAAAGATATAAAGACATGTACTGTGTATATAGAGTAGTACACTAAATTCCAATTTATCTGAAAAATAAAGCAGTAATATAAAACATTTGATGTAGCTATTAGCACTTTCAAGTTCACCTTAATTTTCTATAAATCTCCACTCTTGCTTTTCGTACAAATTTACTCCATTTCAAAGCTTGTCAACCAGTCATGCTTGGGTAAATATAACCTAGATGAAGACACCTTGCTTCATTTAATTAATTATGCATTCACATCTATGCTTATTCTTAATTAAAAAATTAAAATGTACTACCTCATTACTGTGCTATACTGGTAAAACAATTTAACAAGACTTTACCTATGATTTCTGCAAGAATTTGCTAGAAGACGTGGGCTGTGATAAAGAGCATACAATCACAAATTACTGGTATTCACCAAATTAAAAGATTAATTCCAACATAATATTAAGTTGACAGATGGTAGAGAAACTGGAGACCTAATACAGGCCGTTAGTACCAATGTAGCAAAGGTGACAAAGGCACTCCTAGTTGATTTTCTATCTGTCATGAATTTCTGAGTAATAGAAAAGAGTGAATGAGTGAGTGAAATGTATTATATAAAATGTAATGAGTTTAGGATTTGAAGAGTATCTAGTGAGGGAGCGATTCTGAGGTGGGTTTTTGATAATGAGGCAAAAGGTAACATAGCAGCATTCAGAGATTACATTCCATACATTAAATTGGATTAGTAAACACAAAAACAAAGAACAAATACTCTAAATGTTTAAATACAAAAATTCTAAATGTTTAAAAGATTTCATTAAGGATATATGAAATTAGAAGGAGCTCTGGTAGCGTAGTGGTTA